ACAGACGATATTTTGATTATTAATTTTGATAAAGAAATTGAATAAAGAATATTAGAAGTAGTAAAGTAGTTGATATTGAATTTATTAATAATTATAATTATTTTTTTTTTTTTTAGATATCATCAATTAGGTTCAATAGTTTATAATTGATAATATTACTTTATCTTCCCAGAATAACCTCTCCCACTAATTTCGACCTTAACAAATAAAGTAACTCAGTTTACTACAAAATTAACCTTACTCAAGATTGTGGGACTTTAAACATTATATATTTACTTTGATAAAATACTCTTAAGGTATTGATTTGTTGACTTTAAAAATTTCTTATATTAGATCATGTTTTTTAGGTTGAATCTTAAATTGTCTGATTATAGCATAACTAATATTAGCGATGTTCATTATATCAATTAATATTGAATTTTGGCTAAATATCATTATCAATCTATAATTTCTAACCAGTGTAATTTTTTTAAAAAATGGCTGAAAAGGCTGGTTTTAAACTCATAAAAATAGCCCCATGCCACCACTATAATATAAAATCATATATTAAAGCATTTTATATACATCAGCTTTTGTTCAGGTAAATTGTTATACTTTTATATAAGATGATTTTTGGGTGGTAAAAATGTATATTAATCTTTATTTTTGTAAAATAGTAAACTAAAAAGTTACTTTTGAAGTTACGAATCATATGATTTATAAATATTCTTCAAGCCAACCGATATCAATAAAAATTATAGCAGCTTATGCATTTTATAAATATATTGTTTTGGTAAAAAAAATACCCCTTATTTTAGTACTCTAGAAAATAAATCTTATGACCCCGGGTCCAATACATTCCGGTCTCCTACCATTATGCCCCGCTTCTCATTATACAATACTAGTATACAAAATTTATAAAAATTCTCAGGTGGTTAAGTTGAAAAGCCACTTGTTTTCGTTAATTTGATATGAAATTCATCATATATTTATTTAGGATAATCGTAATGACTTGGGTTGCACTTAAATCATTGTAATGTTTTGAAAGCTTATAAATTTTTAGCTAAATGATCGTGTATGATTGTAATGATATATTATAATGTTGACGTGAAGATGTTTTCTCTTTCGAAAATTTGCCTTTCCCCGGAAATATCATTTTTAGCTAATAAACCCCTCAATAATTATATACAATTTAAAACTATAAAAAAATGATCTGAAAGATAAATAAGCATAACAATAATATTTTTCAAAGAATTATTAAGGTTTAAATTTTTAAAAAATGTAAGCCCATTTCTTTTTTAATTTAAAAAATAATATTTAAAAAGAGGTGAAAGTTTACATAATTTTTTCTTGCCGAATAAGCATTTATTTTCTTAGTAAATTAGATAAATTTTTAAGGTAAAAATAATAAAGTTAGAAAATATACTTAAAGGTTCTTCGCTTAGTTTATTAAAATTTCTAGAGCAAACTATAATATTAAACAAAAAAAGGTAATGGGAACTGTACCATGGCCACGTTTGAAGATCCCTACAACCCTGTATTCTCTGAAGATAGTTAGAATTATCCATTATTCCTCGGCAGTGGGAAATTAGGTTATTGATCCTGAAATTGATTGAATAAATTTTATTCATAGCCTTATGCATGCGCACCACATCTAATAATGAGTTATATAACTAATCATCATGTAACCAATCCGTCCAATAGTAATTTTAATTCACAATCTACTCTACCACATCCAATTTTATATAGTAATAAATTTTTTTTGATAATTCGAAATATATAATAAAGGGAATTTCTAAAAAATTTCAGACATGAAATAAACATTTGGTAAATAAGAGCTAGAAATAAATATAAAGAATTTAAGCTGTGTTGAAATAATTAAGACCAGAAAAAAATCGTAAGACTTTTGGGGCTTTTTTTATGGCTACGAAGGATTCAGAACCTTAATCTAGCATTTATATAAAAATTAAAATTGGAATAGGTTAAATTTTGTCATGAGGTATCTGAGCCAAAATATAGTAAATTATACATGTCTGAATGACAAAGATTAATATGAGTATTATTTATTATGCTATATTATCTCAATCCCATCTAGAGTAAATTTTTATTTTGAATAAGGCATATGCAATTACAAATTATTTACATAAAAAGAGAATTAGGAAGACGTTTTGTAAGCATGCCCTAAGTTATTTATAAATCTTTTATTCGGACCCTATAAATTACATTTAAATTAACATTTACACACTAGGAAAGTAATTTTAATTGTTAATTTTATTCTGATAGTTAAAACTAAATTTAAAAGTCTTCGATGAGTTTTACAAACTTTGTGCCATTGAAAAAAAAATAGATTAGTGGTAATGGAATTTTAACATCACAATCTCCATAGATATACGATAAAAAAAATTAATCTTCTATCTTTATGCTAAACTTTTTCATTAATTTCTAATCTTTATAATCTGCGTGTTTATCCTTTCATTTATACTATATATTTAGTTTTAATAATATAAGCGCCCCATTTTAATATTTTTTTTATATCATTTTACATTTTATTTATTCAAATATTTATTTTGGCCGATTATATATAGTTTTTAATTCTTTTAAATAATTCTAAAAATGACGTTTAACTTAATATAACATAAATATATTGCTCTAAGGTAAATGAAAAATAAGGAACATCATCAAAGAGACCTAATATAAGAGACGCTTTAACCGGTTTTTAGATTAAATTAAATTTTGATAATTAGATTATTTAATTTCTTTTTTTATATAGACATTAATATATAAAGACGGACATATCTATTAATGGTCAAGATTTTTCTGTGAGATAAAAATGCTCAATTTTTTCAAATTATATTGATTAATGATCCTAAAATGATAAAAAAATCAGTTAAAGAAATAATCTAAATAGAAAATCTAGCTTAATGCATATCTAAACCATTGGCCACGAGAAAATATTTATATATTATGGAAATCCTTGAAACATTTATATGAATTGCGATTTGACATGTTTGCCACATATATGAGTGCATATGGCAATATTTACATCTATATCTTTTTCCATCTATGATCTTTGATAATCCAGGCGAATGTAGGTTTTCACTCTCTAAAGCAATGCAAGCAAACTCTTCTTGTCATTTTTGACACACAAATTTCCAGATTTTCCATGAATTTCAAAAAATTGGTGAATATTGGGCACCTTCCTTTTATTTTTATTCAATATGTAGATATGAGATTATCACACAGATCAACTCCACCCATGTGTTTGTTATAAGCAGATATCATATTTGACTAGGGAATTATTTTATAAGATATTATCTTTGAATACTTTGAAACAATAGAAAACAAAGAGATGGGATGGTTCGATGCAACGTTCGCCATCGAATTATCATTACGAATCATAAATATTTCGTTTGACTTCTCGAACCTATAATCATAATATACTCTTTCTTTTTTTTCTAAAGCTCTTATAGATTAAACTAGGTATCTCTTCTATTATCCCACACAGTTCCAGGTATGATAAAAGTTTAAAACATAAAAAATTTATGGTTTTTGTAATGCCTTTTAATTTTAAGATTACATTTCCACCTAAACCATATTCATATTAATTATCTCTTTTCCTTGATTATATCAAATAAAAATACGTAACCGTCAGAAGAAGCCAATATCCAAGATCATCCGAATCTAATTGATTTTCCTTTTATTTTGCAAGAATGTCTTCCTCGGTATAGTATTATCTGTTCATCAATTGTTAAATGATGTTTGAAAATTTCCAATTGATTATTCAATATATTAATACAAGGCCTAACTTCACAATTGGACCATTGTATTTCGGATTATTGGAACAGAAATATCACTATTAGACTAATATACATCCTTTCTTGTGGGAATGATACTAGTAAATAATTGAATTCCAATAAATCTCTTAATATCTTGGATGTTTATGTATATTAGGGCGATTCATTTGTTTTGCATAAATATTATTTTGTTCTACAATTAGGGAATACAAATCTTCATTGAAAATTAAAGAAATATCTGATGTTTTACTATGCAAATCGTTTTCAAGTTTTAGTATATCCTCCTCTTCACCATTGAATGGGCTTGTAGAATATAATGCATCTGTTTCTCCATTTTAAATTGCGAGAATTACATAATAGCCTCTTGTAGAAGATGGTTCTGTGTCGTTATTAATTATATTATAAATCTTTAATTTACCAGCGGTAACTTAAGACAAAACAAACTCTATCATCTATTAAATCATTTTCGTAAATCTTCTAAATTACTAATTGTAGAGGGGTTTGGGGGAATTATAACTATATCTCTTTCTTCAATTGGTTCCTCTTCGAAAAGTTAGCACTTGTTCAATTGTTAGAATACGATTAATTTAAAAATTTTAATTAAAAATAAAATAATTAAATAAATTATTTTCGTAGAATTTTCATTTTTTTAACTAGTCATCTATTATTTTCATAATTTTAAATGAATTTGTTCATATAAGGAAAAATTAAATAAATTTGAAAATAAAATAAAATAAAACATTCAGCAAGGAAGAGGTTACAAAATTTTAATTTATGAATAATTTAAAATATTTATGAACAGAATATTTGCTAATAATTTCATATAATTTGACCAAAAAATAAATATCTGACTTAATCTCACGAGGCTCAAAACATCTTCTTCAAAATTATTCTCAAAAGACCTTTAGCTAATATTTTCAAAATGGTTATCGGTGCATATATGCGCCAGTAAACTTTATGTGATTATTTTATTAAAATTTAATTATTTAAAAATCAAAGATTGATATTGAAATATCTAAAAATATTATGCATTCTGGTTTTCATCGAAATAATTTCATACTATACTGGTGAGATTACCTATTAGACACTGCATTTTAGATCTCAATTCGTTATGTTTGAGGGATTTTTAGTGACATTAGAAAGGTGTATGAACTATATAAAGTTCCTTTTTATTATTTTTTAAAATAAAAACTACTATGTTTTAAAAATGATATATAAGAAGTGGTATATATATATGTGTACCCTTAACCAGTAACCGATAAAATATAATATGCTAATTTAAAAATATACATTATTGAAATGATTGGCAGACTTAAATGCAGTTTTTGAGAATGCAAGATATATTAATATCTGAGCCAGTATAATGATATTGATAATAATTTCCTCTTGGTAAGTTCCATGATAAGCGGTACAATATATAATTTTGGTATGTGTAATAACTTATGGAATTCCCATACATTAATATCAACGATAATACATGATTGGTAATTCTTATTGTAAGCTATGTTTGATTATAAAAAAAATAATTATCCAAATATTCATTTCAACTTTCGTATATATATTTAATTTCTTTCTTCCTTCCTCCCATCATCCATCCATCCCTCTATCCATCTATCTATCCATCCATCCATCCATTCATCCATCCATCCATCTATCCATCCATCCATCCATCCATCCATCCATCCATCCATCCATCCATCCATCCATCCATCCATCCATCCATCCATCCATCCATCCATCTATCCATACATCCATCCATCCATCCATTCATCCATCCATTCATCCATCCACCATCCATCCATCCACTTATCCAGAGTTGTACATTTGTTCAAAATAAAAAGATCATCCATCCATCTATTCATCCATCTATCCATCTATCATCCATTTATCCATCCATCCATTTATCCAGAGTTGTACATTTGCTCAAAATAAAAAGATCATCCATCCATCCATCTATTCATCCATTTCTCCATCCATCCATCCATCCATCCATCTATTCATCCATTTCTCCATCCATCCATCCATCCATCCATCCATCCATCCATCCATCCATCCATCCATCCATCCATCCATCCATCCATCCATCCATCCATCAATCCATCCATCCATCCATCCATCCATCCATCCATCCATCCATCCATCCATCCATCCATCCATCCATTCATCCATCTATCCATCCATCCATCCATTCATCCATTCATCCATCCATCCATCCATCTATCCATCCATCCATCCATCTATCCATCCATCCATCCATCCATCTATCCATCCATCCATCTATCCATCCATCCATCCATCCATCTATCCATCCATCCATCCATCCATCCATCCATCCATCCATCCATCCATTCATCCAACCATCCATCCATCCATCCATCCATCCATCCATCAATCCATCCATCCATCCATAGAGTTGTACATTTGCTCAAAATAAAAAGATAGATCTTTGAAGATCGTAAAATTCAAAGATCTTCATATTTTATAATGTTATAGTAAATTATTATTTTTTTGATATTATTTTTTGAAGTAAATGAAGTAAAGCCTCTAGTTGGCAACTCCGTTGCATACCTTAAATCGAGGAGCCAACCCGAGGACCATTCTCTACTCTTCTCCATTTCCGCAGACAACGGATATGAATTTCTCGAAGCTTTTCCATCGCGAAACCTTGACCAGCTCCTAAGCAATGATGAGCTAAGTCACGCCATCGGTCTAAGACTTAATTGTTATATGGTAATACCCTCTCACTGCATCATTTGTCAAACGCCGGTCAACTCCAAAGGCCGTCACTCTTTACAGTGCAAGCGCTGTAGAGGCAGATTCATTAGACATTCAAAATGCAATGATACAATTGCCAGGGCCTTAAATCTGCCGGCATCCCATCAACCCTCGAACCTACTGGACTCTACAATTCTGTTGGTAAGCGTCCTGATGGCTCTACCATGATCCCTTGGAAGAAGGGGGAATTCCTAACCTGGGATTTCTCATGCATCGATCCCCTTGCCCCTTCCAATATAAATAGAGATGCTCTAGTAGACGCCGAGACGAATAAACTAACTAAGTATTCGCCATCGCCTTCGGCCAATTACACATTCCTTCCACTAATCGCCACGACTCTAACGTCGTTCGGCTCTCATGCCCTGGTCTTCTTTAAAGAGCTAAGGAAACGGATCTCTACTAGGACCGAAGATCCCAACGAGGGTTACTACCTACGCCTACCTCAGCTTCATATTCTAAATGACTGATACCCCCTAATCATAGAATCGGCGATGAGAAAAGCAATTAAGAACAAGAGAGGGATATACAGATGGAAGTCAACAAAAGAATCAAACCCTAATCACAGAATCGGCGATGAGAAAAGCAATTAAGAACAAGAGAGGAATATTCAAATGGAAGAAGAAAAACTGAAGGGCAAACTATGATAACTCATAATTCTTTTAAATCATATGCTCAATTTATTATATTAATTTACTATATATTTATTTATATTATTTAAACATATTATTATTTATCCTTAAAAGATATACTAACAAATGTGATTATTTTATAATTGTTTTTATTTTAAAATGTTAAATTTAATATTCCACCCTTTAATACTGACTTTTTAAAATTATATCAATATCAATTTTAAATGAATAAATTTTAGAGATATTAAAAAAAAAAAGTATGTTAAATTAAAATAAAAATTTAATAAAGATGTATCGACAATTTTCATAATCGTTATTTATTTTTTTTAACTTTTTTTGATATATGTGGGTAAAAAAAAATTTATATTAAAATTTCAATGAAGATGTATTGTAAGTAACACGAAAAAGTGACAAGTAATAATCGTTATTTTTAACTTATTTGATTTATTAAGTCGTAAATAGGTTATAATTTTTATTATTAAGATGTAAAAATTAAATTTCAATGAAGATTTACCATAGAAAGGTGACAATTGTCATAATTTATTTTTGAAAATTTTTTTAAAGCATAGATATTGTTAACATGTTAACTTAAAATTTCAGTGAAGATGTATCACAGAAAAGTGACAATTGTCATAATCGTTATTTTTGAACTTTTTTGAATTTATTTAAGGCAAATGGATAAAAATAGATATTGTTAATATGTTAAATTAAAATTTCAGTGAAGATGTACAACAGGAAAGTTACAATTGTCATAATCGTTATTTTTGAACTTTTATAAAGCAAATGGGTAAATATAGATTTTGTTAAAATGTTAAATTAAAATTTCAGTGAAGATGCACAGGAAAGTGACAATTGTCATAATTGTTATTTTTTTACTTTTTTGAATTTTTTTAAAGCATATGGGTAAAAATAGATATTGTTAAATGTTAACTTAAAAATTCAGTGAAGATGTATCACAGGAAAGTGACAATTGTCATATTCTTTATTATTGAACTTTTTAAAATTATTTTAAAGCAATTGGGTAAAATAGATATTGTTAATATATTAAATTAAAATTTCAGTGAAGATGTACCACAGAAAAGTGTAAGTTATTTTTGTACTTTTTTGAATTTTTTAAAGCAAATGGGTAAAAATAGATATTGTTAATTTAAAATTTCAATGAAAATGTACCACAGGAAAGTGACAATTGTCATAATCGTTATTATTAAACTTTTTTGAATTTTTTTAAAGCAAATGGGTAAAAATATAGATATTTAATATGTTAAATTAAAATTTCAGTGAAGATGTACCACAGGAAAGTGACAATTGTCATATTCGTTATTATTAAACTTTTTAAAATCATTTTAAAGCAAATGGGTAAAAATAGATATTGTTAATATGTTAAATTAAAATTTCAGTGAAGTTGTACCACAGGTAAGTGACAATTGTCATAATCGTTATTTTTGTACTTTTTTGAATTTTTTAAAGCAAATGGGTAAAAATAGATATTGTTAATATGTTAAATAAAAATTTTAGCGAATATGTATTACAGGAAAGTGACAATTGTCATAATCGTTATTCTTGAACTTTTTAAAATTATTTTAAAGCAAATGGGTAAAAATAGATATTGTTAATATGTTAAATTAAAATTTCAGTGAAGATGTACCACAGGAAAGTGACAATTGTCATAATCGTTATTTTTAACTCTTTATTATAGAAGTTAGAAGGCACCACTTTTTAATATTTTATAATCTAAAGCCATCAAAGATTTACATGCTGAGCCAATATTATTTATTAAAAAAAATTAGATTGGAGACGGTTATTTTTTAAAATTAGATAGGGTAGGACCTTTCTAGCAACAAATTTGGTTAACAATATATTTTTTCAATAATTTTGAAACAATAAATAATTATCAAAACTTCTTTATTTTATCCTTGTTTAAATTTTAAAAAAGTTTAATAATATTACATATTACAATTGTCAGTTTTTTATGTTATATATAAAAAAAGTCAAAAAAGTTAAAAAATAACGATTATGACAATTGTCAGTGGTGCATCTTCACTGAAATTTTAATTTAACATATTAAAAATATCTATTTTTACCTATTTGCTTTAAAAAAATTTAAAAAAGTTCAATTATAACGATAATTGTCACTTTCCTATGGTACATCTTCACTGAAATTTTAATTTAACATATTAACAATAATAACTATTTTTATCCATTTGCCTTAAAAAATTCAAAAAAGTTCAAAAATAACGATTATGACAATTATCACTTTCCTGTGGTACAACTTCACTGAAATTTTAATCTAACGGGTAAACAATATCTATTTTACCCATTTGCCTTAAAAAATTCAAAAAAGTTCAAAAAGATTATGACAATTGTCACTTTCCTATGATATACTCTTCACTGATATTTTAATTTAACATGTTAACAATATCTATGCATTAAAAAAATTTTCAAAAATAACGATTATGACAATTGTCACTTTTCTATGGTACATCTTCATTGAAATTTTATTTTTAAATCTTAATAATAAAAACTATAACCTATTTACGACACAATAAATCAAATAAGTGAAAAATTACGATTATTACAATTGTCACTTTTTTGTGTTATTTACATTACACCTTCAAAATTTCTTAAAAGTAAAAGATCTTCAATTTTACGATCTTCAAATTTTACTTGCTCAAAATTTTTTAAAAGTAAAAGATCTTCAAATTTTCAGATCTCTAAAGATCTTGCTCAAACTTTTGAGCGAGATCTCGCTCAAAAATCTTCAAATAAGATCTTTTGTACAACTCTGTATCCAAAAATTTTACAAAATGAACCCCAACCAATCCATCAATTTATCCATCCATCTATCCATCCATTGCCTCTTATACCCCTCCCCCCCTTTTGAACCTTGCTTTTAAAATAAGATTTTGACTCACATTTGCGTTCATAAATTCCAAACACATGTAAGATATTACATTGTTTAATGGCAACATACATATCCCAAACGTTGAACCAGTATGATTTAAACCGATTTCGACCTAAAAGAAAATTATTAAAAATGTTTGACTAATGAATACTCACGTCAGCTTCAATGTTTAAACGTAGATTGAATTCTTTCAACCTCATTAGGTTCAATAATTGAAAAACCTCAAATATCATCAACGATTTATCGGTAATGTTATCTGTTGAATTCGTCACTATATTCCTATCACCTCCTTGAATATAAGCAAATATTGAGTTATTATTCTCTTTTCTAAGATACATTTTCGCGAATCTTTTTAAAATATGTATATATATTTATTAAAACATTTATATAAATATTTTCATATATAAGCAATTTTTTAGATAACAAATATAATGCAGCAAAAAATAATATGGAAATATTATTGTAAAATAAACATTTAAAATAGAAAACAACGGTAAGCAAAGGTTACTACAGGAGAAGGGTTATGAAGATGTTATCTTGGTGAGATCAGAATGGCTATTCAGATTTGTTATTAAAGTTCTCTAGCATTAAATTAATTTTACTTAAAGTTAAATATTCCTAAAAGAAATTACTTTAACCTCATTCTTAATTTGTTGACACCAACGCAATCTCTGAATAATATACCATTAAAAATACTTTGAGAACATTCTCTATATCAAATCCTGACGCGTAGCCAGGAATTTTCTACAGGGGGTTGAGGTAATTATTTTATTTATATTGAAATCAATTTTTTTAGAAACATGAAAAATTTATTATAACCAATCATATCAAAAAAATAACAACTTCATACAAAAATAATAAATTATTGAAAAACAAATTTAAGAATATAATATTTTAAAGTAAGCAATTCTTCCATTGTGTTTTAGGATTATCTACTAATGATATATTTAAGTTCTCCGAATAAAATTTAGCAAAATATTTTATTTTTTTTAATATCAATATTTAATATATCTTAGAAAGATTTTTACATAATAGTATTAGTAATTTAGATAGAGCCTTTTGATGAATCATGAATACATTGATTAAGTCAAAAATATATTCAAAAGTGGAATAATAACTACAATTTTACAAATAAAGTCAAAGTAAATATTGAGATCGTTATTTTTTCTAGGCGCAAGTCTAGGCATGGAATCTAAAAATCATAATTTCGCTTTCGTTACAACAAATAAATCTCTTGAAATGGTTACTTTTTTTTAAAGTGGTAATATAATAATATTCCCGATTCTAAGCTTCAGCCAAATTCATAGCATAAATTATTTCAAAAAATTATAATTAATTAAATTATTTTAAATGTAAATTAAAATCGGCTGTTATACTGACTTAAAATGTATCAGTTACAGATAAAATATCTTATTCACACCATTCTAATAATTCTTCAGGGGTTTCATATTAGGCTCTCTATGGATTCATAAATACATTAATAACATGATTTAGAATTCTCCATCTTAACCTGCATGCTTTTAGCATAAACACACGAAGTTTCAGAAATATTTCTATTTAGCAAATCCTGTTTATTTCTGAACATTTCATAAACTCTTGAACCTGATTAATAATTATTAATAGAGATCAATTAACTAAAAAATTTAAATATTATAATATATTTGTATCCATCAATGTTTAAGAGGATAAAATACTTTAATTTTTGTGGAGGGAAGAAATATTTAAAATAATTTCCACTTTTTGCTAAAGTTTTAAATTGAATATAAAATATAACCAATTTAAAATAGAATATTTGCAAATTCACAATTAATGTAAACTTTATAAATGTGTTTCAAATTATTTGCTACAAGGAGTTGATGAAGGATCCCCTCTGATTATGCAACTAATCCATATTTTACCATGTTACATTATGCCTTTACTTATATAACTAATTAAAACTACTTGATTTAGAAGTGTATAACAAAACTATTCGATCAAATTGATTTTAAATAAATTAATATATGATACGCTTTTTGATTTTTTTACAAATAAATATTAATTATTTCTCACTGTAATACACGTATAGGTTCGTATATACTGAATAGGTTAGGAAAATCATCAAAATGTTGCTCCAAACACAAATGACTTAATTCTGTCGTTATAACTATAAAAAATATAATATTTATAGTATAATAAATTTAGTATTTAGTATGATAAATATTTTGTTGATATTAATTTTTAAATCAATTATACTATATAATTGCTAAATACGCATGAATATAACGTTATTGCCTATATATTTATAAAAAGTCGGAATATTGATCCTTAATAAATTATTTAAAATAATAATTTCATCTTAAAGAATTGTGGATTTTTCTATTAAAAATAATATTCAACAATAATGTCGTTAGTCATAACTTAAAATGTACCGACTTGTAATTTTAATATCTCAGAAGAAAATTGCTCATTTTAAATATAATACCAAAAAATATAGCTAACAAATAACAGAATCAAAGTAAATTTTCTTAAAACTATCCATATTGACATTACTGGATTGTGTATAACAGAATTCACATATCTTAGTTATTTTATCGATAATGATATTAATACAAGAAAAATGCTTGAATTGCATTTCAATTCTTTGCAATAAATATGTAACAAAAATTTTGCACGCTAAATAAAAAATTAAGATATTTTGCCGCAACATTCATTCCGATCTTAAAATAAATCTTGTATACTAACAATAAAAAATTTTTCGAGTATTGAACGTGTCACATACTGATTGTCATTAAACTATGTTGAACCTATATTTAATGATAGCTCTATGTATACGGATTGCCATTTAAATAACGTCCTTTTGTACAAAAATGCATACCTTTCGCAAAATATCACTTATACATAAGTCATTAACTTGCTGATTTTAAATTTAACTACTTCTCTTAGTGTTGTTATAAAGCCCGATTTATGTCGATTTTTAAAAAGGGTCCAATTTTGATTTTAGTCAAGATAATATTATATAATCCTTAAGATTTTTTACATGGATGGGGGAAATGTTTGTACCTATATTTGCTGACTCTCAAGATTTACGTGTTATTATTTTTGCTACCTTAATTGGATCGTTTTTTAAATCGATCTTTGGCTTTTTTTTAACAAACTTCACTTAACGTATGTTCGATATTAAATTACACACTACAGTCTTACAGGTAACTATTTTAATTCAATATAATGATCGGACATATATTATTCTTTTATAATAATCTATTTCCTATGTAAAAAAATAATAATATATTCTTTTAAATTTAATTAATAGATAGAGTTTGATCCTATTTGTACAAGGATAATTCTACTTCATATATCAAAATTTTATATTATTTAAACCTGTTGAATTGGCTTTGACATATACTATTATGCATAAGAATAGAATGTATCTCATTTTATTGAAAGTTTTAGTTTTATTTGAAAAAAAATTAATAAAAATGTTTTTATCCAAATTTAATAAAAAAAATTTTTTAAAAAAATATTTGTGTTTTTATTTAAATAAAAAAATGTTTTTATTTATTAATTATTGTGTGAAGTAGCAAAAGATAAGGGGGCACAGAAAATATTAAAATTATAAGAATGTTATCAATAATATGTTTTGGATTTGAAACTTAACCTAATATTAAAAGTAATAATAAACAACCAATTTCGAAAGATTGTTTTATCTTATATCGATTGCTATGTAAATATAGCTTTAAGGATATTTACATAATTTAGCCTTGTAGTTTAATATATTTATATATAATGTATGTTATACAAATTTTCTAGAGAAATGGCTTTAATATTTGCTAAGATTCATGTTTAATTTTCTTTAATATATTTCTATTTACTATTTAAATAGAAGTTACCACTATGATTATTAAAAAGTGTTTATTAATTTAATAATTGAAAATATTCATGTACATTCTTAAATTCATAATTAATATATTTTACAAATACAAATTTAGCTTTGAGTCATATTTTTTTTTATTAATTTACTTCTTAGAAGGCTATGAAATTGGTGTTGTTTTGCTAATTAAAAATACAAATAAATAAGCATATTACATTTTATTCAAAATAGTATTAACCAAAACATTCGCTTGAAATAAAAAAAATATATATATCTAAATTTTAATTCCCAGGCTGGCCTATTAGAATATTTTTTAAATATCAGAATTTGCGACTCTGCCTAATTTTTTATGTATATAATGTCCGATGTCTCCAAATTTTTCTATGTACGAAATTCCTGCCTGTTCTGTTAAATTTTTTAACCTCCCCATCATCTTACAATTTTTTAAGAATTTCCTCATGAAACAGGGCTAGGCCGGACTTTGGAGATCTTTAGTATGAATATAATAAATATCCTATTTTTGAAGATCTTTCTATCTAACTTTATATGATCAGTTATAATATAAAAATAAATAATTCATAAACAAGCTTTTTATCAAGTTCTACAAATTTTTTTTTTAACATTTCATCAAAAAGTACTTTTCTCGGAGGAGAGTTAATTTGAATACACATTGGGCAATTAAGACTAGAAAAATTTATTTATTTTACAAATTAATATTTTGTTTATAGAATCAATGTATTGTTAACTTTTGAAACAATTATTAGAGGATGTTAGAGATCTGACATTTAATGTTTTTTCTTAATATTTTTGCAACCAAGATTTTCATCACCACCCTCATTTTATTAAAATTAGCTCAATAAGTCATTAGATCTAGTCTAATTTCCTTCTCTATAATTTGTGTGTTATTTCTTTTTTCCCTCTTTGATTTATATCTACTTTAATAGAAAGTGGATTACATTTTGATGAAGTATCTTTCTCACTTTTGTCAAAAACTTCAGCTATTAAAATTAAAAATAGTGCATAATATCTGCAATAGTTGTAATTCTAAATAGTTGAGACCAGCATATTGTGAGGAAATTTTATAAAAGTCATATTATTTCAAAAATCCATTATCATATAATAGTATGTTAAGATTCTTTCGAGTATAATTATATGATTGGGTAAAGATCTTAGATTCTTTATAATTAATATAAAATATTAAACTTTATATTACAGTAGGTTCATGAATAATTACTTAGAGGTTTATAGCCTTTTATCAGATTTGCCACTTTGGTATTGTAATATTTTGATGTCTCTCCTGACCTACATCTAAGTAGTTATCTGATATATTTAGATTTCCAAAGAAGCATCTTAATACTTCAGCATAATAAACTCTAAAATATTCTTTACTCAGATAAAAATTAATAAGATACATATTTATTAACGGAATATATTGACTTTAGGTTATCATAGTTACTATTGTTAAATATTGTTCAAAAAATGATTTAGTGTTTAACTGCAAAACATTTGCAGGCAAATTGCTAGATTTAAAGAATAAAGAAATCATCGATAAATATTTATATTTTAAATATATTTATTTATAAAAGTTTTAATTTAGAACTAATTCTATATGCAAACTGTTTACAACGAATAAGTTATTAAATATATGAAACATTTTGAATATCTCTCAAATGAAATAATGATTATACGTAATACGTGATTGAGCGCGTTCTCTGAAGATTCAAGCCTATTGTTTTTTTATAATAAATTAAGTTGGATAAAAAAAATCAATAAAGAGCCTTCTACACGTTTATGGGCAAACCTTGCATACATGTATGCAATGCACAGTATTCTGTCGTTAAAACGTCTATAAGCTGACATGAACGAAAAAGCCCTTACCCTAGATTTGTACATAATTATTTTTGAGCAGACAAGCGATGTTTTTTATTTTAAATGTCTATAAGTAAATTCCCTTGGGTTGATGTTAATAATGTGATTGAATTTAAAGTCTTGTCATGTTGACCATAAAAAATATTGTTATTAAATGGTACGATTTTGGCTAATTTTTAAAAATGGCTAACTCAATATTCTAGGCAGCATCTGCCTAAACATCAAGATTTCGCTATAAATTTTAATATATAACTGTCAATTTTTTTATTCTGCAAATTTCATTAAATTCATTGATTGATTTAACATGGTGTCTATTAAATGAAGATAAGATATTTTTTAAACTATTTAAGTAAGGTTATATAAGTTTCTGTTAAATGCATGGTAAGTAAGATTAAGAAATTTGATTTTTAAAAACTTTATTTTTAATCTATCTTTTGTTTACACAAATCAAAAAATATATTATATCTATCTTTCAATATAAAAAATAAGATATATTTATTAAAATTTTATCTAAAATATTTGAATAACTAAACATGAAGGCTAAATAAATACTAAAATACAAGGATAAGTTAAAAAAAATAAAAAAGTTAAATTGAATATTCAAATCCTAAAAATAAGATTAAATTTATATATGCAATAATGATTTAATATAATTATTTATATTATATAACATTCTCCCTCTTTTATATCGTTGAGAGCTTGTTATCCAAATTGTTTATCTTCGCTGTTCTTGATGTTGTCTGTCATATTCATCATCATTAACTTATCTATATCGTATTTGATCTTATACGTTGGTTTGTCCAAATGGTGCTTGTACGTAGTTTGTTCAAATAGTTAGCTTGTTATCCTTATAGTAGGTTGTTTAATTTGGTTTTATTATCAATTTTCAAAATTGTTATCATCATCAATCATTCATGAATAATTAGTAATAAGAAGAATTATCTTGGAAATTAAAATTAATGAACTATCGGAATAATATATGTAATAGAATTTAATTGAATCGCATAAATAAGATGATAAATCAATAAGATTAATGTATAAACTTTTTTAATGTAAAATTAAATAGTTTTATAGATCATTTTTCATCATTTCAAAAATTTTTTTGAAAAAAAATATTAGAAATTAATAAATTTGAATAAAGAATTTAAATTTATCTATTTGGGTAATTTTTATGGAAAAAACTAGTAAGTAATTTTAAGGTATGTTATTTTTCGTAATATATTCTAGTTTTTTTGTTTTTTTTTATAAAAAATATTATAGAAGATTTTGGACATGTTTTATAATTTTATTAATTTGCCAAAATATATAAATTTTGAGGAATTTTTAAAAAATTTAGAACACAGCCTAATTTATCAGATTAAATATATATAACTTTATATAAATTCAATTTGAAATGAATCACCTTATTTGTTTCGTTATAAGCGATTTAAGCAAAATTTTATTTGCCTTGCTGCAAGTGGAGGTAGACGAATATTAAACGTGTATAGCTCTGCCTTTGAATTAATAATTATATATATAAAATGAAATTCTTCATCAACATTGGCCAAATTTCATTGATTCTAATAAAATGCTGTCCGCTTCATCATCTCAATCAAGTCAATGTCATGTTTTGGAAAAGTGTTATATAAAATAGTTGTATAATTAAATAATTTATTAATAAATTCTATTGAGAAAAAAGTATAAGTATTAAATCCAATAATTTGTTTGCTTCGGAACCTCTTTCAGACCATTGTGATATTTCAGCAAGAGCAATAATAATCGGCAATTCTAACTCCATAAAAGCTGTTACTGCTTGATGGCGAAGACTCCATTTTGTTGGACAAGCATTTTGCAATTTTTTTGTTCGAGTTGGGCAAGGAGTTTTAGAAATAAATAGTTTTGTTTAAAATATTTTATCGCTTGAGGTATCTAAATATCTCATAGATGCTACATATTTTGCCTGATATAAATATATAAAATTTAATTAAAATAAATAAAATAAAATTATAAGCAATTTGATATCAATGGTAAAGAACTTGAGTTAGATATTAACAAGTTGAGCGAATGAGCAACACAGAGCTGTTAGTTACTTTTTATTATTAATACCTGAAGTCCATTTAATTGCCCACTCTGCACGAGCTCCATCATACCCTTGCAAAAAAATTTCTTATTTCCATAATAATTATTTGACTAGAAATTTGAAAATAATAGATTATGCTAAGGAAAACTTGAAATCAAAATTAATTTATTAAATAGCTTAATAAATGAATGTAATTAATTATATATTTAAAGCGTATCTACTTAAAAATTTAAATTCTAATCCGGTTATATAGAAGAGAAAAAAAAAGAATTAATTAACAAATTATATTTTTATAATAATCGTTATCTCTTTCCTTGGACATATGTCAAGCGGACTTAAAATTTTTTTAAAAATATAGGCGACAAGATAAGAGCTCTTACATAACAACCTAAAGAATATTATTTTTTAAAACAAAATCTACAAATTACTATTTTAAAATATAATTATTCATGTTTTTAACTTGTAGTCCCACCTCCGTTTTTATAGAATAAGGTTTTATTTTTATTTATATTTGATATGTATTTTCATATAATTTTATTCGCTGTATTATAATATAACAATTTAAAAAGAAAGAGATATAAATAAATATTATAAAATATAAATTAATATAAACAATAATATTTTTAAAAATATATCCGGAATCATTGGCTTTAAGAGGGAAGTGTAATTGTCCTTT